TTATTATTTTTTATTTTTATTTTTTTCTAAACGGGAAATATGTTTGTTTTTAACATACATTTCCAGAACATATTAGCAGACTTATTATTTTTTGAAAGTGATGTTTCTGGCTGTAAAACACATACTGAGGTTTCAGGCTTCCTGCAGGACAGTTATGTTATGTTGGAAACTGGGCAGTATAGTCCAGTAACTGATCTGTCCACCCAACAGAGACAGCTAATTTGTTAACAAACACAGAAATGCTCTGATGCTAAAGTTGTTATTCTTCTCAGAAGTCATAACAGACGCAGTCCTCTTATAGTCCTGTTCTTAGATAAATGCTTCATCATTTATTTTAGCTAATTTGTCTATGGTGACATAGGTTGATGTGTCTCCTTGATTCAAAAAGAGTAGAATGTCACTCTGGGGCTTCCATAGTTTTTCCTACATGCTTGACAATGGTTTGTAAATCATTTAGTGCATCAACAGAGGGAGGTAAATCTAACAATGTTTTGTTTGATTTGTTAAACGTAAAATTTTATTTAAACTTAGACATATTTAGCATAGGTTATCATTGTCATTGTTATCATGGTGAGAAAAAAACAACAACATCTGCTTAAAGAATTGGCACACAAATATTGGCCCACATATCTGAAAATCAGTTAGAATGATTGGTGTTGGCCTTTAACAAAGTTGTATGAGTCGCTCGCTAATATGAACCATCTGCAGGCCTAACTTTGAGCAGAAATTTCCCTTTTAACTTTTTGATACTTTCAATAGTTGAAAAATTCACTAGGTGTGTCCTGATACAACTTTATATTTCCCGATATGATACCGATATTGCAGCTTTGAAAATTGCCCAATATCGATACTGACCAGATACAATATTACCAAAAATCATACCAGCTTCCTCAAGAGCTACCATCCTGTAACTTTTAAATGCTTCTCTTCTATAAGACACCTGAATCTAAAGGCTCAATCCCCTCATTTAGCTGAGCAGAGGCATGGTAATGAGCCCCTCATTTGATTCAGGTATGTCAAACATTGGGTATATCAAAAAGGTACAGGATAGCAGCGCTTGCTGTAGAATGTTAGAAAATAATTACTAAAAAAGGGAACAAAAGTCAACGACAAATGGTATGAAAACAACTGACTAATGTAAAATGATCTAAATGAGTTACAAAAACTTTTAACAGAAGCAGAGTATTTCTAAAATATCAGAGATTATAGATGCCATCATACAAATTCTGATATTTGTCATTTGGAAAATATCGGACCAATATCAGATACTAATATTGGATCGGGACATCGCTAAAATTACCTATTCTTTTGCTCTATTAGGATTTATATTTGATCATCTGTCTTTAAGGATCTTTTGCTTTAAACCCAATGCTTCAGTTTATCAATCTGAGTGATTCTTATGTCTCAGCTTACTTTACCTCAGTCACACATTGGAAATAAACACACTGTGCCGAAAGATAACACTGAAGCATAATCACTCCTATAGAACTCTTTCCTCAGTCTTTTGCAGTTCATTTGCACCTTTCCCATTTTACACACTTTATGCATCTGAGGTGATTCTTCATTGTTAGATTTAATCTTTCTTTGACTGAGCTTCCTACTTCTACACGCTGCACAGCATTAATCACTCATGTGCACGCCCTCCATCATAACACAGAGACGGCAGAAAATGATCAACTTCGCAGAGAACGTCACCTGATGAAGCACACAGATTATTATAATGAGGCCAAACATAATCTGCAGGCTGATGCTAAACAAAAACTAATCTTTAAAAACTGAATTTTTAAGATAATACAGAAAATGTCATAATTTATCCTCTCCTTAGCTGCTTAATATACAGTATACTGAAAATCAGTATTATTTAAGTTATTTTAGCACATTTAAAATATACAAAAAATAATAATATAATAGAGAAAATATAAATATATATCCGATTTAACTACCAGTAAAGCTAATATTTTATCTATTGCAGAATTGTGAAAATGCTTTTCTTGTTTCAGATAGTAAAACTCTTATAGATTATAGAAACTTTCCTTTGGAGTGAGGTGCAAAGATGCATTTCTATTGTTCTGCTCCACGTTAGTGCAAACATTCATCTTAGGCAAGAAGTGAAAAGAATGGGAGCTGAAAAACTCAGTTTAAAAAAGAAATTAAAAAATTAAAGTTTTAAATTAATAAACTCAATATAAAAAGATTTAAACCAGCAAAATTTGAAAATATGAAATCTGTTCAAAAAAAATGCAAAAGAATAAAGAAATCAAAAATTACATAAAAAAAACACATCTGAAACAGAATAAATATTATTCAAAAACAATAAAATCTAAGAAGGAAAGGAAGCAAAGTTACTCCAAAAGCCTTATTTGGATTAGGGATGTTTTTTTGTTTTTTTTTAAGTATTAAAGGAACAGTACACCCAAAACATGATTAGCCTTCATTTTCTACTCACCCCCATGCTGAACAACACT